ACTTTTATGTAAAAAACCTTGATTGCGCGACTGTTCCCACATAAACAATAGAAGCGCCTAAGATTGTCTTTAGTTTCGATTCATTTTCACCGTGTAGATATCGAAACTTGATGACAACAAGCAAGAAATGAACTTTGCACAATATTATGTATTCTGATGGTTAATTATTTCTCCGTGCCGTTTAGTTCGGGCTGCTACTTAAAAGTAGTAGTAGTTCGAATTTCTTCTCTGAGCAATGTAGCAATTGCATCCTCATTCAAGGACATTAGGGAAAGCGTAAATCTGATATCAATATAATAGACTAATTCGCTAGGTCCAAACTAAAGGCGAAGATCTTCGATCGGGTCTGGCACAAAGCGCTTCTTTCGAAGCTTCCTTCCTATGGGCTTAACGAGAAATTGTGCAAATTGACCTCCAGTTTCCTTGCTGATCGGAGCATCAAGGTCGTAGTAGACGGTGCATGCTCTGATTTCATGCCTATCAACGCTGGTGTTCCACAAGGCTGCGTGCTATCACCAACGCTGTTTCTCCTGCATATCAATGATATGTTGCAAACTGGTAACATTCATTGCTATGTAGACGACAGCACTGGTGATGCGTTATATACCGGCCGTGCCAATATTTCTCGGGAAAACGTCGCCGAGTATCGGGACAAACTTGTGTCTGAAGTCGAGTCTTTGCTGAACAAAGTCTCGAATTGGGGGCGACTAAATCTAGTCCAGATCAATCCCCAGAAGACACAAGTTTGCGCGTTTACCGCTAAAAAGAACCCCTATGTCGTATCTCCTCAGTTTTAAGGCACTCCCCTTGCTGCCTCTGCTAGCATCGGAATCCTTGGTGTCGACATATTTGCGAATTGGCCTCTAAAAAGCTTGCCGTGCTCAGCAGAGCGAGACAATATTTCATACCGGCACATCGCTTGCAACTATACAAAGCGCAAGTTCGGCCTCACATGGAATACTGTTCTCATCTATGGGCCGGGGCACCCCAGTGCCAGCTCGTTCCACTTGACCGCACCCAGCGCAGAGCGGTTCTAATCATTGACGACCGAGTTTTTTCTGATAGGCTCGATACACTGGTACTGCGTAGGGATGTTGCATCCCTTTGCATTTTCTATCGAATTTACCACGGGGAGTGCTCTGAAGAATTGTTCGGATTAATTCCAGTCGCCAAATTTCACGAACGCACATCGCGTCAAAATTCACGATACTATCCTCGCCATCTGGATGCTTGGCGGTCCACGACTGTGCATTTTACTGGGAGTTTTCTTCCACGTACAACTTCTCTGTGGAATTGTTTACCACTGGCGATTTTTCCGGACCGATACGACTTAGGGACCTTCAAGAAAAGAGCTTACACCTTTCTAAAAGGCCGGCAACGCATCTGCAATTCCCCTGGTGTTGCGGTTGTTCATGGGCGGCGGTATTCACTTACCATCAGGTGAGCCGCATGCTCGTCTTCTATAAAAAAAAAAAAATCTTTTGACGCCTATTTTCTCGATAAAAATCGTATACCGTATAAGAGATTAGAGCAATATGATAAATATTCTGCAATAGTAAATTCAAGTAACCAGTCGGAAACAGTGATTAACACAGCTTTAGCTTAGAAAAGTAGCAATAAAATCTGTTATACGACATCCATTCAATAAACCTGCGCTGATTTTTCTCTTAGAAAGCTGCGAGCACCGAGAGAACAATTCCCCAAGTTAGTAATATTTTCTCATCTGTTCCACGTACCTTGTCACCAATTTCTAATTTTAATTCTTTTATAACTTGCAAAACTAACAAATTTATTAGTATGCAACAAAATTGTCCACCGGGCAATACCATTAGAAATTCGTAAGTGTCATATAGTGTCTTGGGTAGCAGCAACCATATACGAAAGTTATTATGAGCATAATTTTAAAAAGGTATTATAGTACAATCCGACACTGATTATAATTTAAGACGTCGGATTTATATTACATTTATAAAAAAAAACAGTCAGTGACTCTTGTTTCAATATTTCATAGCAAACGAGCGAACTGTGTTCGATTTCCACCGGCACGAATGAAATTGTTAATTAATAGCAATTTTAAGTGCTGATTTACTACTTACTCGACGGTGACAGAAAACATCTTAAGAAAACTTGCGCGTTTTTTACGAGGACATGGCAAAGTCGGCCAAAACAAATCCCTTTCGAAGATGAAAGGAGGCCTATGAAATTTATGGAGGCTGTACACGTAATCTTCTGGATTATTCCGTAGAACACATTTTTGTCACTACCGGCATGAAATAAACAATACATAATGCGGGTAATTATTAAATATTAACCTTTAGTTAAAGAGTTTTAATCAGTTGTGAATTATAATATATTATAGGTAATTAACAGACTGTTCTCAAAATTTTATATGTCGTCGAAAATAATTCTATATCGTCAACAATTTCGGCTTTAATGTTGCCAGGATTTTAGAACAGCCATTGTTCAAAAATCAACAAACTGTGAATTACATTAAATTCAGGTGCATTTAGACAACTAATGCTTAGTGTGATATACGCGCTTACTGACTGACATCAACAGCTTAGCCATACGACGATATGTAACAATTAAATGGCTTTAGTTACGTAACAAACTGTAATCGTGTGGTATTAAATTATCCGTTCATCGGTGACTGACTCATGGATTATGTATTAAATTCATCGTAAAAGAATTCTACCTATTTGGGGCAACTTCGAATTTATAACTTAGACTAGCGATCCGTCCCGGCCCCGCACGGGTGATTTCTGGATCTCGACAACAGCGCCATCTACCGGGTTCAATTGTGAATCACAATTACATACACACGGACAGAAATATTATATAGTATATAATTATGCATGTATTATGCATATAAACTTTCCTCTTAAATAATTCTGTCTATGGATGAAAATTGTATCAGAATCCTTTGCGTAGTTTAAAAGATCAAAGCGTACAGACGGCGGGAAGCGTCTTTGTTTTATACTATGTAGAGATACGCCCGTTACTTGTAGTACGTTCTTAGTTTTTTAGGTGCTAAGCTTTTGGAATTGATTGAAACGACGGGAGAATACACTAGAGATCGGTCAACTGAAAAACTCAATGTAGCAAAGACCATGCATATCGCAGAAAATCTATATCTATACAAATAAATAAAATTGAAGTGTCTGTTTGTAATGTCACAATAACAGCTTTTTACTATTCGCATATGAAGGTATATACGGTAGTTATAAAAAAAACAGGATTTTTAATATTTTTGTCTTTCTGTCTGTCTGTCTGTTTGTTCCAGCTAATCTCCAAAACGGCAGGTCCTATTTTGACTGGATTTTCACTGACAGATAGCTGATGTTATAAGAAGTAACTTAGGCTACTTTTATTAGAAAATAAATTAGGGTTCCGCGCAAAAAATTAAAACCCATGAAATCCAATCATAATAAATTACGCGCGGGCGAAGTAGCGGTGAACAGCTAGTACTAAATAAATTAATAATAAAAATACGTTTTAAAATGGAGAAATACGAATACCTGCATGTCAGAGGGCATAGATTACGACGTTAGAGTTTGGAATTTCGGAGCTTGGAGTAAAAAGCGCGAGGTCACAAAATTTCGGCATAGTCTAATAAATAATATTGTCCTCCAGACCGAATTTCGGTCACAGCAGCCAGCCTCTACGGAGACTACCCAAAAGCGCAGGACAGGATTATAGTGCCCAAGTATAAGCGCAAGCACAGGTCCCATCGGACTATGAAAGTTAGGAAATAGGGCACTCCCTACGGTAAACCGACACGAGCGGAGAGAGATGAGGCGCAGGACCGACGGCTTTACATGCTTTCCGAGGCGTGGGGGTGAGACACTACACTACACTACACTATTGAGAATTGTTTGATGGAAAAGTTCAATAACTGATGTTTTTTTGGCCGACCGTGGATACTGCCTCGTTGGTCTAGTGGTTGTAGTAGTGCGACTGCTGATCATGAGGTCCCGGGTTCTTGTAATATATTATGGTAGTGACATCTCGACTTTGGCCCACGTGTCCAGGAGCTCAACGTTACAGAAATGAAAATACAACGTTTGATGAACAGCGTTACGAGGCGAGACTGCATACGTAACAAGTTCATCCTGGGTAATCTCGGATTAAGTAACATCGTGAACGAAACGCACGGAAAGTCAATTATGGTGGTACGGATACGTCTTATGTGAACGTAAGTGTAAACCGGGAGCATACGTTAGTAGGAAATTCATTGATACAGTTGTGGCATAAGCGAGATAACGTGACCACCCCGAAAAGCATAGACTCGAGTGGGGTCGGTTAATATGAGAAATAATTGGTAGGCAATGCTGTTGTGACATAAGCGAGACAACGCGACGCAAGCACTCCATGGCAAAAACTTAGTAAATTCTTAGTATGTGGGTGCTATGCTTATAATACCAACAATACCAAACCAAATGTTACACCCACGCCTCGGATAAGGAACTTATTCAATGTTTAGGTAAAGAATAACACCCTTTTATTTAAGCTTAACCTTTAATTTAAGGCTAGTGGCCTGTCCTTAAACAACAACTTAACATAATGTAGTTAAGAGAGTCATACATATGTGGGATAAAAAACATACAAAAATCTGCATGGACTATTTTGTACCATCCTGAATTATCGAATTTATCATTGGAAAGGTTGGAATATCTGTTTCCAGGGGGAACCGTAAACGGAATCTAGTAACCTATCATAATAATATGTCGTAGTCAAATTATACTTGCCCATTTACTGACGGCTTTGTCGATGTAATTTACTAGAGTATGTCTATAAACTGTCGAGCGTTTCCATTTTCATATATAATGCTGGCCAGAAAATTATAAAAATACCGGCAAATTGTAAAATAAGTCAGCGGGCTCGTGAATTAAAACTTTAAGAGTGACCATAATCAATGAAATAATTGTTATTTTCAATTTGTGTGTTTCAGTCGCTCATACATAATTTGCATAAAATATTAACTTTTCATTTTTTTTTAGGAACAAAGCGATCGCCGATTATTTAGGTAGCAATGGCTACACGGACGCGCTGGAAGCGTTTAAGAAGGAAGCCGAAATGACCGGCGAAATGGATCGCAAGTTCGGCGGACTCTTAGAAAAGAAATGGACTTCAGTAATAAGGCTGCAGAAAAAGGCAAGTATCATTATCTTGAACGCAATTATGATCAATTATTGTCTTCATGTGAGGTTTTGTAAGAATTCTAGAATATTGATAAAAAGTTAAGAACAGTAATACTAACATAAAATAGTTAAATAATATTAAATGTTAATTATTTTACTATAATTTGTGTCACATAGCTAGTCACATAATAATAAATTGAAATGAAATACTTCCTTTAAACATAACATGCATTATGTGAAATAATAATATAATAATAAAAATAGAAATGATAATTTGCAGTAAAACATTACAAAATATTCCTAAAACATTGCCAATTTGAATTGTCAACCATCCAACTAACAATAATTTAAATTTTAGATAGTTGATATTCTCACTTCATAAGATCATTTGCCTTTCATTTATAATTAATCATGTACTTTTATTTATTCTGCATTTCTGAGAAAAAATATTTTCCAGATGTGAAATCACCAGTCTGCACTCGACTAATTTTACATTGTGAAATCCGAGGAAGCCTACGCTTGGGCTTAAATTAAGCTGTTTTTAGAGTTCCGTACCTCAAAAGGAAAAAACAGAACCCTTATAGGATCACTTTGTTGTACGTCTGTCTGTCTGTCTGTCTGTCTGTCTGTCTGTCTGTCTGTCTGTCTGTCTGTCAAGACCCTTTTTCTCAAGAACGCGTGGAGGTATCAAGCTGAAATTCATACCAAACACTCAAGTCTACTGTCCCTTGGAGCTGTGAAAAAATCAAACTTCTAAGCCAACGCAATCAAAAGATACAGCCGTTTATGCCGCAAATTTTCGACATTCGCGAGGGAATCAAAACCTACAGGGTACTTCCCGTGAACTCAGAATCTTGAAATTTGGTACGAAGCAACGTTTTATAGCACAGATAAAGGAAAAATTGCAAAAGCATAAATTTTTAGTTACATCATATAATAAAAATATTTTTAATAATTTTAAACTTATATACCTACAGATTTGTTCGGAACCCTCGGTGCGCGAGTCTGACTCGCACTTGGCCGGTTTTTTAGGTTTATTTCAATATTCAATTTTAACTTAGGGTAATAATGGCAACTGTTGAAAATATTTGAAAACAGCCCAGCTTATAAAAAATTGGGCGCAGTGTATAAAGCTATCCGAACCAGGCAATGAGATGGATCGATCGACTTGTCGTCACAGTTTCTAGGTCGCCTGCAACGTCCGCTTGTCACATGCCAGATGCTGTTTCTTACATAATATATTCTAATCAAAACAAATGTACTGATAATGTTCTCCAGCCGTTTTTAACCACGGCGTCAACGTCCCCAAATATTGTCGTAAAATTTAAGACGTATAGTTTATAGATTAATGTTTCTGTACTATCAACATTAATAGTTAACTCCATGATCATATAGTAATCATACTTTGAATACAATAAGGAATAAATAAAGCGAACCATTGACATCAAATGGTATAAACCCACATATTCAGCAGTTAACTGTGATGGGCCTATCGTCTTAAATCGATGTTGTTGATGACAATTACAGGTGATGGAGTTAGAATCCAAGTTATCCGAGGCTCAAAAGGAGTTCATGGAGGGCGCGCCAACGCGCGGCAAGCGTACGCCCGCCGAATGGATCCCTCGTCCGCCTGAAAAGTTCTGTCTCACTGGTCACCGGGCAACTATTACTAAGGTAATTCCTAACATGCAAAGATATTTATTACATAACTCTCCTTCTCAAATAATTACATAAAATAGATGGATTCTAAGTGTTTTCAGTATGTATAAATTAAATACTTAGCTATACTTAGCCATTTCAATGGATTGTGATTAAGGCAGTGCAGCTAAAGTATATTTGAACAGTATAAAGGCATAATATGTAAATTTCGTATGAATTTTACACAACCACTGATTTTTAAATTGTGAGGCATTATGTCTGACGAGGGTTCAGTCCAATAATGGACCAGGCATGCATTTTTTTAAAGAATTTTCATACATGCGACGCGTATTAGTGTGGATTGGCAACTACAGAACCGCTCCTTGTGGCTGGTAATGTTGCTTCCTGTCCATATCATCAGTGTGTAAAAAGAGAATGGGATTTTTGGGCCTTAAGTTAACTTATTGGCTTATAATTTAAAAAATTGGCAATATTTTTCTTAAGTAAAATACAAAAAGTAGCTCTTTTTACAATCTAGATTTCGAAAAAACAATAAATTAAGAAATAAGTTAGAAAATCGATTGTAGCATATTATTTATGGCAATAAATCGATTACCATAAAGAATACACTAGTGAAATTCTCGTTTCTGAACGTTATCTTCCAATAGAGGGCTTTTCATTTTGAAACTTGACTTGACGGTTCAAGCTTCAAATTATTTACTTAAAAGAAAAAGATGAAAAGAGCGCAATATAATCGATTCTTGATTAAATTGAGCATTTTAATATCTATTTTCGATTATTTTTCTGTGTAACTAGGGAGATAAAAAAATTGCGTACATGTCTACAAAATAATAATAAAATATACAAAATATCAAAAATTCCAAGAAGTAACAGTTACAACAACGATTCAAGTAATAAATCTCAGATCGATATCCCTAATATTCACTTCACTCAGTTGTTGTTATTTTAACTTTCGTTAATCGTTTCACCATTTCGTTTCTATATTAACCACATTTTTTTTGGTGATTTTATACTGATCCTGCTTTTATATCCTTAACTAATTGTAGTGAAAAATAGCCTGTTACAGTGTAATAACATTGAGAATCACCTGTTACAGTGTAGGTAATAGATAATCTCACTTTTACTTGTCCTACAATAACTCAGCTCCTAGATTGACAAATCTTGCTAGATTTTAAGCTATGAATTTTTTATATATACGCATCCAAATGGTCTTACTTTCATCTTGTTAACACTTGGGCCCAAGAATGTATGGAGACGTCTCCTTCTCGTTTGGATTCAGTAATATTAAAATGGTTTATCTCACTATTTCTCTGTTGTCAGTGCTGTCATTTATCACAGTGCACCGAATAATTTATGTTAGGATGGCATTCAGCACATAAAGACCCTTGACCACCCTAAATTTGTATAAAATGTAAATAAATATTACAAAAAAAAAATCACTTTGTAGATATGTTTCCATTATCGAAAATATTTCTTATTTAAAAAAGCCCACAGAACAAAACTACACTGGTTTTCTAGCTCTACTATAATTTGGAAAATAAAACTCATTGATTTCAATTTTACTTAATACATTAAATGTTATCCTATTATTATAATACGTTTCGTGATCGTGTGCATGCGTGCGTATATACGTGCGTGCGCTCATACGTGTCAGTAAATGTTTGGCAAAGTTAATGTAACATATTAGCGAGGGGCTCTCGTAACTTACATGAGTCATATAGCATCTTTGTTAAAAGTGTTCATCACAAAAGGTCTATGCTGTAGTTAACAACAAAGCTCTTCACCCTATGCATGTATTTAAAAACGAAGAATATAATAGAATGCTTATTCTTGTGGATCTAATGATAATATAATTCATTCTAATAAAATTTTATCAAAAAATAAAAACATTATAGTTAAAAGCTAATTAGCTAGCTAGATGCTTATTGACGCCTACTCTCCAAATTCAGTTCGCGGTATATGACCGCAGTCGCCCAATGCATTTGCACAGACTTATAAAATAATACTGAAATGTTTTGAAATAAATAAATGTATGTTTGCCTTTTTAGTTACTTTGCTTTTAGACCTGTCTCAGTATAGACCGGGAGCTGGTGTTAAATTTTTCGATAGTTTCATTGTTTGGCAGATAATGATGATGAATGCAAAGATTGAAGTAAATAGAAAAATGTCTAGTCTGTACCATCTAGGCTTTAAAGTAATGGTTGTAAGGCGTTTCTTAAGAGTCTGGGTTGATATCATCATGCCTATCTCAGCCACAATGAAGTAGTGTATCCACTTCTGTGTTCCAGTTTGAGAGCTAACAGGCTAACTCGAGAAAGAAAGCAATAGGGAAAAGTGATAGGAATAAATAGTAAAATTTTCAATGTCGCATTTTCAAGAGGGGCTTTATGAAGAATAATTGATTGTTCATTTAAGGATACGAATCAGCACCATTCCACAGTGACCCATAATCTTAGTCGTCTAACCTTTTTTTTTGAGAGAGTGCGGCCGGGCTTTGAGTGGCACACCTATTCAGGGGTCACGTCCACCTTGTTGTTCCCGAATCCAACATGGTGTGGTATTAGGATCTGTCATTAGAAGGTCACTAATTGGTCAATCTCTGCTGCTGGGCGGGTCATGAGGAGCCGCTGTACCTTTTCAGTTGGTCCTCATTTCATCTTAGGCCTTAGGGGTGACAATGCATCTGTGGTCTACATTGTTTAAAGTTAGTGTAAAGCAGTTTTTTTTAAAATGGGCGATAATGCCCCCTTGTGGGCGTTGGAGACCTAGAGGTCTAAGAGAGAGATTAAGGGGCCCAGAAAAAATGGGGGGCGTTGGCGTGGGTTAGGGGGATTTGTAATTTCATTTAGATACTTTATATTTCAAAATTTACTAAAGTTAAAACCTACCTACTACTCAATATCCAATAATTAGTTTATATTTCTGCCCTGTATGATGGTATATAAACTAGAAATACTTAACATAGATTTCGTAGGATAGGCCGCGATGAAGCCTTCAAGACTTCAAGATAATTTGAATAAAAAGCATCCAGATAAGAAGGACAAAACTGTAGCCTATTTTCAAAACCTGGAAGAGAAGCATAATGCTCAGCCAAGTGTATCAAAACTTTTTTCGGTGGTAGCTAAGCAAGAGAGTGATGGACTTCGAGCTTCATACAATATCTCTTTGTTAATTGCTCAAACAGGTAAACCACACACCATCGGAGAAACGTTAATTTTTCCGGCAATAATAGAAGTTATAACTACTGTACTCCATAAACCGGCGGCAGACATAATTGGAAAAATTCCTTTGATCAATTACTTCTGTGCAAAGACGAATTGATCAAATGGCTGAAAACATTGAAGAGTCATTGTGCAATCATCTGAAGACTAGTCAATTTTCAATTCAGTTCGTAGAGTCCACTTTACCAACTAATGAAGCATTCTTGCTGTCTTATGTAACTTTTATTAAAGATGAAAAAATATGTCAAGACCTATTATTTGCTAGAAATTTAGAGATGGACACAAAAGGAAAAACCATATTTAAAACAATGGAAAAGTTTTGTGATGAAAAAGGAAATTCCTTTGACAAATATTATATCAGCTGCTACAGATGGTACGTAAGCTATGACAGGGTGTCAAAAAGGCTTCATAGCGTACGAGGGCGGCACTGAAAATTTCGGGAATCAAGGAAGTGACACAACATTACTATTTAAAAATGTATTTATTGCTTTTCAAAGTATTCTCCGCGAAATTTGACACATTTTTCCATACGATGAAACCAATCATTGAAGCAACCATTCCATTCGGAAGTTGGGGGTCTCCAAAATGGCCGTTTTGTAGGCCTCCACAGCTTCTTCAGGTGATGAAAATCTCTGTCCACGCAATTTATTCTTTATTGTAGGGAAAGTATAGAAATCATTAGGGCTTAGGTCGGGGCTGTACGGCGGATGGTCTAATAATTCTATATTTTCTTGCTCTAAAAACTCTTTTGTTCTGTGTGCGGTGTGAGAACTCGCATTGTCGTGATGGAGGATGATGCGGCGGTTGCATTTCTCTTTACGGAGTTTAGAAACGACCTGTGGCAAACAAATGCTAGCATACCATTCTGCATTAACCGTTCTTTGTCCCTCAAGAGGAATAGTCGTAACATGGCCGGTTTTGGAGACAAACGTGGCCACCATTTTTTTTTTGCAACACTCCGTGAACGAACAATTTTTGTTGGCTTTAACTCATTTTCGAACACCCAAACTCGTGACTGGTTTTTTGTTTCGGGTTCGTACGCGTATATCCAGGATTCGTCACCTGATACGATGTTGTATACAGCATTTGAGAATCCTGCGTGGAATCTTTCGAGAGTTCTGACACACCAAGTAACGCGAGCCGCTTTTTGCTCTTCACAGAGCGAATGCGGTATCCATCGGGAAAACAACTTTTTTACACCTAATTGTTCATGCAAGATTATTTGTATTTGACTCATGCCAATGTCTAAAGTTGCCTGAATTTCGCGGTATGTCACATGTCGATCTTCCTCAATTAGCTTACGCACAGCATCTACGTTTTCTTGGGTGACTGCAGTTTTTGGACGACCTTGACGGGGATCATCACTGAGCTTGACACGTCCACGTTGAAATTCAGCAAACCAGCGACAAATTGTGGTTTTGGATGGGGCTTCGTCACCAAATACAGAAATCATCCGGTCAACACACTGTTTCTGTGTTAAACCACTTCGAAAGTCATAATAAATCATCGCTCTTGAATTTTCTCGAGTCAATTCCATTTTCTCAACGACTAAACAAGTTTGACAAAACCTTGTGACAAGACCGAGAATCTTTTTTTCAATAAATAAATGGTATTCGATTTTTAAAACCAAGGACTTTTCATTTAAAAAGATTTTAATATGACAGGAACAGTGGAAATATTCCATTCCCGATACTTTTAGTGCAGCCTATGTACTTAAAAAACAAAATTCCAGATGTGCTTGCTGCACATTGACAACATTTGGTTGCTAGGAATTTAAGTGAAAGGCTGTTTCAATCATTGCAACATGTCATCAGAGCAGTCAATAAAATCTGAAACGACTCTTTAAATGACAGATTATTTAATCAGCTTTGTAGATTTCAACCAATTGATATTTCACAGACACAGAAGTGCGTTAGCTATCAAAAGGGAATTGTCTGACTCGATTTTACAATCTGTTTGACTCTGTCGTAGAGTTCTTGGAAAACAAAGACATAGAATTACGCGACAACCTCGTCACATCAAAGAATGATTTTATAAATTGCTTAATGATATGAATCTCCAACTTCAATTGATAAAAACCAAAAATGTCGTCTCTGCTTTCGTAGCCAAGCTGCTCTTACATAAGAAGAATATCGGCAGACGTGAGTTCCATAATTTTCCCAATTTATCAGTATCCTGCAACAACGACGATTTGCTTGTCTACTGCCAACATTTGGAAAATCTCCACAGTGATTTAATTTAAAGATTCCCGGACGTTTTGAAATTGCCAATAACAGACTGGGTGTTAGATCCTTTTTCAAATGTCAACAATGCAGTATCATCCCAACTGGGAGAAGAACTTATAGAACTGACAATGAACGAGGAAATAAAAATCAAATTTAAAAATGGCTACCAAGAATTTTGGCTACAAAAGTCAATCCAGCAGTTGTAAAGTTAGTGCCAAGTGTCCATGGGCTGCATTAGCCACTTACTATTAGGAAGACTCAATTTGCTTGTCACTCTAATAATATGAAAACAGTTATTACGACCCTGGTATATTGATGGCAAACGTAATGACTAGCATTCATATACGTCATTGAAGGATTTAACAATCTGTGATAAAAAATAACTTACAGTATTCCAGGGCAATAAATATGTATTTAAAACGGTTCTGTATATAACTTTAGGAGGTTTATTTCATGCAGCCAGTTGATGATGTTGTTACAAGACAAGAGTCCACTTATTTTAGTTTAAATCCAAACCTGTTACAGGTAATATTTCATCCAGTGTTCAGTTTGATGGTGTCCTCGAGCGAAGACGCCACCATTCGTGTGTGGGAGTTTGAGAGCGGCGTGTACGAACGAACCCTGAAAGGGCACACCGATTCCGTTCAGGACATTGCATTCGACCACCATGGCAAGTTACTTGGTGAGTGTCAAATCATTTAAATATGTTATGTATCTGATCGGTTTATTATTATTCTATTGAGCTAGTTTAGACCAGCAAGATACAGTATTACTAACAACTACATTAACTTACCTAAAAAGAAGTACTACTTTCTTTTCAAGTCTTTCTAGACAAAATCTTTGATAGACCTTTGAAAATTTAAATTAATACATATATGTACTATTTTAATCTATTGAGGCATCATGAATTACCTGCAGTATTTTTTTTTAATTTGTATTTTCGCTAGATTCAATCTCAATTAAAATGCAAAACTGAAATTATAAATGTAATTCAGTCATTTCATTCTTATCTTTACTATCTAAAATACTTAAATATTAGAGGATTGAGTGTAAATAATAATTGTAAATATTTCAGTATCATGCAGTGCTGACATGTCAATAAAGTTGTGGGATTTCAACCAGACCTTTGAGTGTATAAAGACTATGCATGGCCATGAGCACAATGTATCGTCCGTGGCTTTCTCGCCCAGCGGCGACGTCGTCTATTCAGCCAGTCGGGATAAGACTATCAAGGCCTGGGATGTAGCCACTGGGTATGTTCAGTTGATTAATTATTAAGAAGGTAAACATTTCTAAATATAAAAAAACTAAAATAAAACAGCTTTGTAAATATATGTGCTTTGAAATTTCCAGTTATGACAGCCATCTGTCGCATCTGAATAGAGAATGCATGTATGTTCGCATACTCGTGCACTATAGGCCTTTCCTGTGCAGATAGCTAGTTTCCGTTGAGACCAGCCGTTGTCATTACAAGTCTTCTGCAAGATATATTATGAGACCAGCCGTTGTCATTACAAGTCTTCTGGAGGATATATTATGCTACCACTATATCATGTAATTCTTGGAAAAATTGGTTAAGAGGCTATCCGGGCGGCATTTAGTCTATACAAATATATTTCTCTGTTTTCTCCTTAGATAAAAACACTGGATCAAATATTTGCTTACAATACAATCTTTAATCTATATCTACTACTAGCATATTTCTATGTTTTATTTCTTCCCATAAATTAATTATTTTTAAAGCTAGTACCTTTAAAAATGACTAACACTGCCCAGTTATACCACCTTTATTAGGCATCCAGCAAATTTAATGAATGTCATAGACCATACAGACAGTCTAGTGTATTAATAATTTATAATAATCAGCCCAGTTTTGGAGGAGGAAAGAGGGGAACAATCTGGGATGATGTTTTCGTAAATTTTTATAGGTATAATCAGTCTCAAGATACATTTGTCTTTACCATTTGATAAGCTTGGTTATTCTAGCACATTGCAACAGCAATAGATTGTAAAAACTGAAGCTAAAAAGCTTGAGCTCTCAGACAACAAAAAGAAGAGGGATTTGAAAACTTCCAAGGAGATCTGAACCGATTGACAGCTTACTGTGACTGTAATAAATTGAAACTTAGCATAGATAAATGTAAGTGTATAAGTTTTAGCAAGAAAAAAAGTATAAGTTATTTCAATTATTCTTTGTGTGGCGCAAATCTCGATAGGGTGCATAAAATTAGAGATCTGGGAGTTACATTAGACACTAAGCTAACACTAGAAACTCATATTGATAATATTTGTAATAAGATGTATGGGTTTGTTATCCGCTCTAGTAACGATTTTAAAAGGCCAAGTACATATATGTATATATATAAATCTTTAATACGCTCACAAATTGAATATGCCGTCTGTGTGGGATACCTTTTACAAAAAAATACTCAGACCGCCTTGAAAGAGTGCAAAAGAACTCCCTATGATGCATGCATTTTAAATGTTTTCATAGTAAATTGTCTTACTCAAAATTGTTACAACAATATAAAATATTTAATCTAAAAACTAGAAGGTTACAATTACAAGTTAAACTATTGTACGACTGTTGTAATAATAAGTACGATTGTATTGATATAGTGGATAAGTTATGTTTTAAAGTACCAGCCAGATCACACACTCGAGCATGCCGTACATATAAACTATTTGCTACACCTAAGTCTCGAACGAATGCTGGGAAACGTTCGCCATTGACTCGAATGACTGAAGCTTATAACAGCTACTTCACTACCCTAGATATATTTGCAACGAATGTTACTTCATTTAAAAAATCAGTTTTCTTTAATCTGTTGCCTGAATTCAACACCACTTGAATTAAATCCATGGTCAACTTACTTTACTAAGTTTTAGCACGCAAATTTTTTTATTTAATTATTTGTGGTTAACGGTGTTGGTGTCACAATTATTTCATTATGTGTATGTATATTATTTGTAAAAGTATTATTGTGAAACTGTTTGTTGACCGAAATAAATTAAAAAAATAAATAAATAAATAGAATCTCTTGGATCAGCATCTTAAGTGTAAGGCTTCTGGTATCAATTGTCAACCCTTGATTATGCAACTGCCTCTCAAATTCGAACTGAATGAATACCAAATGAGTTCAATTTTTTCCCAACAAGAGCGCTCTTTGGCCAATTTCATTCATGATGACACTTGTCTGAAATTATCAACTGCAGAGGGCGCGAAGTGTTACACGTCTTGGTAGAAACACAATTTTTTCGAATGTATCACTTATGTGTTAAAATTGGAGGTGGGCTCCTTTCTCCTCATGCTCGTTCATAGGTACATGCAGTAACCGTAACTATTTGTGCAGGTACTGTGTGAAGACGTTCAAGGGTCACCGCGAGTGGGTGCGTATGGTGCGCGTGTCGGCGGACGGCGCGCTGCTCGCCTCCTGCTCCAACGACCAGACCGTGCGCATCTGGAACACCGACACCAACACCAACGAGTGCAAGGTGCCCATAGATACATTACATTCTTCACACAAACAAGCCACCGTTATTGGTTAAAGCGAATTTACATTTAATTCAGTCACTGACTTACATCACTTTTCATTTATGTTGATTCAGTATTTGTAAACAATTCTAATTACAACACCCATTCATTTATTAATTTAATTTAACCCTGTTTATTATTACATCATGTATCTTTGAGTATTCAGTGAATATTTACCATCTGTTGTCACATCCATCACATAGGGTGGTTTGTTTTGAGCAATAGCATTTGTGAGTTTGTGACTATGGCTTTACTTCTTCATTAATCTAACATAAGTTATTTTTTTTTTAAAAACAAGCACAAACTTCTCACACGGTGTCTTCCGTGCCAGCATGAACTTGCCTTGTATAAGTCCTTTTTATTAAGTCGTTTTTCAAAAAGTCGTATGTCCTTTTTAAAAACCTTAACAGCAACATAACCATGTGATTGCCTTTCAAATCGTTAAAATAGAATAGAATATTTTTTTATTCAATATAGATTATTGCATATTGAAAGACAATGTTTTATTATCACTAGTTTGTAAAATAGATTTGTAGTGGGAAGAACCGGCAAAAAACCCAGCGAGAATTATATAACTTTCATCTCTCCTTTTATAATAAAATACTTTCAAAAACAAATTTTGTATGTTGATTATTAATTTAATATTAGTGGTCGTTCAGTGGTCAGTTCAGTTAAGTGCACATTAATTTATAAAACACATATATCTAATAAACAAGATCATTTTAATTTTATATCTATCTATAAAATAATCTTGTTTATTTTATATCTATCTATATAGCCTTCTTACATTGACATACAAAATTCACAGCTTACTCAGTCAATCTGTGTTTAATTATTTGTTGATGACATTTTAAAAACTTCTTGGCGACAACTTTGTGCGACTGTGCTTATGTAAGATATTACTATTAAGGTTTAACCACAGACTATTTTGTGTTTGACATTGGCAATAGAACGTAAACAACGAATATTCAGTCAACGTCACACCACCGTGCGCACAACATGCTTAAAAAGGCGTTGGTTTCAAAACGAAGCGTTCAGGTATGAATATATAGCTAACGATGACGACACGACACGACACGACAGATGGAGCTGCGCGAGCACGAGCACGTGGTGGAGTGCGTGGCGTGGGCGCCCGAGGCCGCGGCCGCCGCCATCAACGAGGCGGCCGGCGGCGACAACCGCCGCGCCAGCCACCTCGGGCCCTTCCTCGCCAGCGGCTCCCGCGACAAGACCGTCAAGGTGACCCGCCTTCCTACTTACTATACCTAACTATACTTAACACTCCTCCTCGTTATAAGTGTTACTACACTTTGTGGAAACCTGTAACCAAATATTGTTTTTTGTTTTGCATTACATTTGCATTCGATTCTATATTTCTTAATAAATCCAAGATCCAGCATATAACTGCTTAATTGCCCAAGTGTCTGTAAGTTAAATTTGAATAGATTAAAACAAAATTAGTTAATCAATACTTAAGTAACCAAAGTTTAACTATTAGAAGTTTCTAACTCTGTAACCATAGGTACTTCAAAGTAACCAAACAGATATTGTGTTAAATATAGTAAAATAATGTTGTTTGGAAACACTTTATTGTTTATGAACTTTTAGGTAATAATAATTATTATTTTGTAAGCAATGTGCGTAAGTTGATGTTACAAAACACCCTAACTTATTACTTCATTACACCAAAGCTTGATTAGCATGGAATGCCTTCATCATCATCATTACAGCCCTTCATAAGTCTACTGCTGAACATAAACCTCCCCCAAGGAATGTCACAAAGCACGGTCCGGAGCCACCTGCATCCATTGACTTCCTGCATGTCTTACCAGCTCGTCACTACGAGTCACAACTAGTACGAGGCTACCACTTGAGAACCATTTGTCCCCATCGGTTGTCGGTTCTTCGAACTATATGGCCGGCCCATTGCCACTTCAGCTTACTAATCCGTTGGGCTATGTCGGTCACTCTCGATCTTTCGAGGATATTCTCATTTCTAAGTTTATCACACAGAGAAACCCCGAGCATAGCCCTCTCCATAGCTCGCTGAGCGACCTTGAGCTTCCTCATACGGCCAGCAGTGAAGGACCACATCTCAGATCCATAAGTCATCAATGGCAACATGCATTGGTTGTACAATCTCGTTTTCAGGTTTTGAGGTATACCTGACGAGAAGATGTGTCGTAGTTTACCGAATGCTGCCCAACCGAGTTGAATCCGTCAATTGACTTCTCGGTCGAGGTTGGACTTACCTAGTCTGACTATTTGTCCCAGGTAAACATACTCGTCAACAACTTCGACCTTAGTGCTCCCAACAACTACCGGCATAGATATGACATGGACATTAAACATGATCTTTGTTTTGTCCATGTTCATCTTAAGACCTATCCGTTGGGAGACACTATTGAGGTCATTGAGCATAGTGCTTAGATCCTCCAGCGATTCTGTCATAAGGACTATACTGTCGGCAAATCGAAGGTGAGTGATGTACTCGCCATTGATGTTAATACCGCATCCTTTCCAGTCCAGTAGCTTGTAAACGTCTTCCAATGCAGCGGTGAAGAGTTTCGGGGATATAACGTCACCCTGTCTTACACCTCTCTGCAGTTGGATAGGTTTCGTACTCTGATATCCTATGTATGTGAGTACATGATATCATCATGTACTCACATACATAGGATATCATAGCAATCGTAGCCCTACTGTACAAACACTTCAGCACTTCGATATACCGACAGTCAACTTGGCACCGTTGAAGGCACTGCAGCACCGCCCAAAGTTCGACTATGAAAAAACCTGATTAGGTTTTCTCATAGTCCACATACGCATGGCAAAGTGGCAGATTATACTATTCTGTCTTCTGTACAATTTGCCGAAGGGTGTGTATGTGGTCTATGGTACTAAAGCCTTTTCGGAAACCGGCTTGTTCGGGAGGCTGGAAATCGTCAAGTCTGCGTGCGAGACGATTCGCAATAACTCTCGAAAACAGCACGTAGACGCGGCTCAGAAGGGAAATCGGCCTGTAGTTCTTCAAGAGAGCGTTGTCGCCTTTCTTGAAGAACAAGACTTCTGCTCCATACCTCCGCAGTAGTGCCACCATGGTGGACGGAATTAAAGAGCTTCTGAAGGACTTCAAGTACCGGTTTTCCACCCGCTTTCAGCACCTGGAGCCTTGCCGTTTTTAAGGTGCTGGAGAGCCATTCTAATCTCGCTCAGACGGAAATCCGGGATATCGTATATCGTAGTTATATAGTAATTATCGTAGTATCGGATAAAACTCGCTCTTGGATCGTTACTCACACTTGCACGTGGCTCCAACGATGACGTGTACAGCTGCCCATAGAACCTCTCAATCTCACTCAAAATCTCAGGTGTCCCGGAAACGATGCTGCCACACTCGGTCTTCAGCTTTGACAGTTGGCTCTTTCTGGCAGACAGATCTCTGGCAAAGACTATGGAGCCTTGGTTCCGCTCGATCGCTTCTTCAATACGAGCAGTATTGAAGTTGCGTAAGTACCGCCGCATGCATTTGGAGATGTCTGTTCAGTTGCCTGTATGCTGTCAAATCTGTTGAAGACTACAGCTTCATCTACCGTCTAACAGCCATGAGATTAAGAGTGTGATGGGCGAGTTTTTGTGTTCTTCTACAGCGGGTCTTGCAGAACTTAGCTCCGACCGCATGGACAGTTTCCACGAGCTTGTCATTCATATCGTCCATTTCATTGCAATCTTCTAGGCACTATAAACGGTTTTTGTAACTCGAGCTTAAAGGTTTCGGGACTTTGGACTATAGCACGAGGGGGACGGAGCATTGACTTCATTAGACGAGACCTTTCTAACTTAACGTTTAGGTTCAGTGTGCCTCTAACCATTCGGTGATTGCTACCAATTTTCACCCTCGCGATCACGGAGACATCACTGAACAGTTGTCGTCTCGTCATAATGAAGTCAATCTCATTTTTTGTCGAACCGTCGGTGCTCGACCAGGTCCACATCCTGTGGTGCCGCTTCTGGAAGAAAGAGTTCATCATAAAGAGTCTCTCTTTCTCCATGAAGTCGGCCAGCTGCTGGCCCCTTGGGTTCCAAATTTCCCTACCTTCAGATCACTGTCTCTTGTGCCTAGTTTTGCAATGAAGTCTCCAATTAACACCGTATAGTGGGTTTTGAAGGAATGCATGGCTTTAGAGATATCCTCATACATTTCCTCCACCTCCTCATCGGGACGTGCCAAGGTTGGTGTGTGCTGTATGACCTTCGGCAAATACTGTTTGGTGATTTTGAGTATAGGGTACGCAACACACTCAATCTCTACAACGTTGTTAACGAGATACTTGTGGACGAGAAATCCGACACCTCCTTGGGACAGATGGTCGCCCTCCCGTTGATAGAACAAGTTACCGGATTCGAGGATTACCGTGTCCTCCCCCTCTCTTCGGACTTCGGATAATCCTATAATATTCCAGCGTAACTTGTCTATCTCTTCTTAAAGCTCCATGATCTTCTCGTCAGTCCTCAGGGTCCGTGCGATGAATGTTGCCACGTCGAGTCATTTTAGGTGGCAACTGAATCTCCACCGGAGATTCTTAGCACGCGCTGCCCCGCCGTTACCATGGTCGCCACTGTAGCCAGGAATAGCGGGGACGCCGGGGACTGGGGGGGCCGTCTTTTCTTTACCTTCATCATGGGGACTCGTTGGCTTGGTTGGCAACTGCAGTTTCTTTATTGTAATTTTGGTGTTATCAGGAAAATGCTGCTGCCCATCTCTTGCCAGTTTCCCACTGTCGCCTCTTAGGACACCCACGGGAATATATGGGGTAGTGGATATTCTTAACTGCCACTACACGGAGTGCCTTAAAATGTATTAATTAGAATGTATTAAGTATGTTCAGCATCAGTCTGTATTTTTTTAAATTTAGAAAGTTAAGTAACTACCTATATACATTCAACTTTTGGGCACGGCGACGCTCATATTATTTGAGATGTTATTCATTATATATAGGTTATGAACCAATTAATCCACTGCGCTGCTTCAGTGCACTTTGGCGAACTTTACGCCTTCGTGATATAACTCAGATACGCAGACTTACATTTTCCTTTGCAAATAAAAATAAACACAGTGAAGTTAATCACCGCGCATATAATTATATCGTTTATAGTATATTTAAGTTGAGTTGAAATTAGTTTTCGTCGGTTGAATATGTAGTGTAGTATAGGGTCGTGTTTGTGTTTGTGTGTGCGCAGATCTGGGACGTGGGCACGGGCGTGTGCGTGGCGACGCTGGTGGGGCACGACAACTGGGTGCGCGGCGCGGCCTGGCACCCGGGCGGCCGCTTCCTGCTCACGGCCTCCGACGACAAGACGCTGCGCGTCTGGGACGTGGCGCACACGCGCTGCCTCAAGACGCTCTACGCGCACCAGCACTTCGCCACCAGCCTCGGTCGCTACCAACACCAACCCGCACTTTACGCTAACACTACGATACGCACACACCCTTTTTTATACAATAAACGTGATAAACGTGACAAACGAGCACACAGCCCACTTGATGGTAAGTGGATGCTGTGGCCCATAAACATCTACATCTATCCTCAGTTAAGAATCAAAATGCAGATTCGTTGTCACCCGTTCCAGTAAATACGGGTCTCCGGTTCTCTACACTCACCATACGAAACACAGCAACATTAAGCTGCTATTTTATGCTGGTATTCTGTTAGAACGTGGTCCTTCCCCGGTCGAGCCGACCAATTCGTGCTACAATCATAATATAGTTGCAGCATGGCTCACTACATATAAATCACTACACTACCTTACACTCTACCGCAATAATTATAAATTACCGCGTGAAGTAGTGTGGTTACACTAGAGTTTACCTAAATAAGCAATTAACTGGACGGAAAAAAATCATTTTTAAACATTGTGGTTGAAGATGCGGCGGTATTATACTTTATGAGTGTCAGTTATTATATGAATCATTTACATTTTAACAAAAAAAGCAAGACTTAAAAGAAGATGGTGAATGATAAAAATGCACAGAAACTATAATAGATTATTCTTTTTTCTGTTGAGCTTCTATTGCACACTGAACAAACTGTAGTGTGGCCACTTGACGCAAAAATTAAAGCGGTAATCGTCTTTGATATACGAAAATGACCGCCACTGAAGCCATTGCCTGCCGTCGGATAAAAATGCACAGAAACTATAATAGATTGGTCTTTTTTCTGTTGAGCTTCTATTGCACACTGAACAAACTGTAGTGTGGCCACTTGACGCAAAAATTAAAGCGGTAATCGTCTTTGATATACGAAAATGACCGCCACTGGAGCCATTGCCTGCCGTCGGATAAAAATGCACAGAAACTCTAATAGATTATTCTTTTTTCTGTTGAGCTTCTATTGCACACTGAACAAACTGTAGTGTGGCCACTTGACGCAAAAATTAAAGCGGTAATCGTCTTTGATATACGAAAATGACCGCCACTGGAGCCATTGCCTGCCGTCGGATAAAAATGCACAGAAACTATAATAGATTGGTCTTTTTTCTGTTGAGCTTCTGTTGCACACTGAACAAACTGTAGTGTGGCCACTTGACGCAAAAATTAAAGCGGTAATCGTCTTTGATATACGAAAATGACCGCCACTGGAGCCATTGCCTGCCGTCGGATAAAAATGCACAGAAACTATAATAGATTGGTCTTTTTTCTGTTGAGCTTCTGTTGCACACTGAACAAACTGTAGTGTGGCCACTTGACGCAAAAATTAAAGCGGTAATCGTCTTTGATATACGAAAATGACCGCCACTGGAGCCATTGCCTGCCGTCGGATAAAAATGCACAGAAACTATAATAGATTAGTCTTTTTTCTGTTGAGCTTCTGTTGCACACTGAACAAACTGTAGTGTGGCCACTTGACGCAAAAATTAAAGCGGTAATCGTCTTTGATATACGAAAATGACCGCCACTGGAGCCATTGCCTGCCGTCGGATAAAAATGCACAGAAACTATAATAGATTGGTCTTTTTTCTGTTGAGCTTCTGTTGCACACTGAACAAACTGTAGTGTGGCCACTTGACGCAAAAATTAAAGCGGTAATCGTCTTTGATATACGAAAATGACCGCCACTGGAGCCATTGCCTGCCGTCGGATAAAAATGCACAGAAACTATAATAGATTAGTCTTTTTTCTGTTGAGCTTCTATTGCACACTGAACAAACTGTAGTGTGGCCACTTGACGCAAGAATTAAAGCGGTAATCGTCTTTGATATACGAAAATGACCGCCACTGGAGCTATTGCCTGCCGTCATATGCCACATTGATTGACATTATACAATTATGGCTACACTTGTTTCAATTATAGATATAATTATTGCCATATCACGGTAGTGTGGCCGTAGCATAGCGTAGCATAGTGTATGCGATATGTACATGCCAGTTTCCGCACTCCTATATAAAAAGGCACGACAAAACCACACCACTTGACACAAAATATTTGAACAGATTTGATAGTAAATTTTCCGTTCAGTAAGAACCGAGGTTCATTTGCTAAACCAAATATTGTAATTAAAACATGACTTTTTTTTAAATATTCTAAGCCAGCTCTTAACTACAATCCCACCTGATGGTAAGTGGTAATATAGTCGAAGATGGTGAAGCGCACTGACTTAACAAAAGCCTATTCAGTCTTGCCTTGAAGAGGTCCACATTGTAATCGGATGGAAATACAGATGCAACTTATTTTTATAGCTAAAAAGGAACCCCAATTATGAATAATAAGTGTGGTCGTAATTCGACCGATTGTGTGTTGTGTGGAAACTTGTTTACACAACTGTTTTGCTGATAGGTAATAAATCCGCACGTGCAAATAAGCTCCGCCATATTTATTTTTGCTTGATGTCAATGATGAAACTGGTAATATCCTCCTGACGGAATTTTAATTACCATAACTTCACTTAACGGAGGCTATGTACTGCTCAGAAGCCATTAAAGTGGCAGAAATACAAAAGCACTCATTTGTTTTAACTTACCTGTGCATAATGTTAAGATAAGATACAGTTTCGAAGGCAATAACATACACAGTAACCTGAAATCTAACATTTTGTATTTTTCCAAACTCCTCTTTTTGATTAAATTTGACCATTGTTGGTTCTCTATAAATAAATTATGGATTTATAAAAACAATGATGCTGACCTTTATCAGTTACTAAACATTTTTAGTTCTGTCTGGTGCAATAATAACAACCTGTTATGCGATTGAGATCAGTAGTATACATATTACTTAATAAATTATTGTACTGAGGTTTTTTTATGGAGACATTAATCAGCCTGTATGGAAGATATTATTTAAATTTTCCTCAATTTTTAAACTGAAAGGGGTCTGAATGTTAATTTTTTACAAATCAATGTTAAAATTGAATTTCATAAAATATAATAAACTGGTGTTTCATTTCTTTGATTCTCCATTATTGATGGATATTGTAATTTTTGTTTTCAGATTTCCACAGGAGCTTGCCATACGTGATTTCGGGCAGTGTCGATCTGACCGTCAAAGTTTGGGAGTGTCGCTAAAAGCATTGCCATTATAGTAACTTAAACTCACCGATGATATCTTTATCATTATTTTTTCACATTATAGCTGCAGTGAGAACGTTATGAGTTTCGATTTTAATGTTTACATCATTTAGAAAGAAAAACGTTTTGATTGTAATTTATTGATATTATTATATGTCCTTTAGCTCATTGTGGTCACTTTCGGTGTAATTGACGAAGCTATGTCCTGATGTTTTTAACCACTGTGTCCTTCATAAAATATCCCGAAATTGTTTCAGATTATCACATTCCATTAAAATATAATTGATTTTAGATTTCTTTAAGATAATTGGTTATTAAAGTTTCTCGAACTGCGTGCGATGCAATCTTAAACATTTTTCTGTGAATATTGGGACGTAGCATTCATCTCACACCCGATTGGAACAATGAAGTGAGGAGTTAAAAGCTGTGTTATAATTTAACATTTCATTATTCTGTTTTATTTTATAGTTATTGTTTATTCATAAGAGCGTTTAGATATAATTTAATTTGATATGAATAGTTAATATGGTTTCTAATATGTTCGCTCTTGAAAACTTGTACCTTGATTTGTTTATGGATAATTTAGTGTTTATTACATTTGATATTGATGGTTATTCATGACAATCATCCAGAAATTAGTCATTTTTACGCGAATCAATGAAAAATTCATTAAAATATTTTTGTAAATAGAAATGCTTATTGTCTCTGCTCGATTCGATCCTCATTATGTTTGTTTGCTTTACTGCCAACAACATTAATGGATATCTATGGAGACACAAACAAGCTCATAAGTTCATCACTACTATGATAAAGTGTAACATGTTGGTGGAGCTGTGTGCTTTGATTTTCAACGAATAGCTGTGTCTAATAGCGACTTATTTTAAGTTTTGGTTGATTCAAAACTTTAACTATAAGTTAGAGTGTTATATTCAGATTTTTTTACTATTTATTTACCAACGTTTAATTTTAAATGTCTCAAAACGGAATCACTATAATATAACTAGCCATTAAAATGCTAGGGTTAATGATATTTTGCAACGGTTTTCTATTTAATACTATCTTTATATCATACTATAAATTTATATAAATTGAAGCGTGTGATATAATTAGTAATATAATTTTTAAATGTCGCTCCTTTCCGAGGTAGCTATGTGCAACGTTAATATAACTTAATTCTGTTTCTTACGTTAGTTATTTATTTACGAGTCAGAGAAGTTCAGTTGCCTGGTAATGTTCTAAGAAATTAATGGTAGATATAGTTGAGTATGGTCATATAGTTAGATGCTTTGCAGTTATTGCACGTGAGTAAATGTATAAAATACAGAAGTATTGTTGCGGTGCCATGGTGTTAAACAACTTTTGTCATCGTAGAAATATCAGATTGTTTATAGAAGGATGCAAGGGCTTATAATTGTTGAAATACCGGGGGTTTGTAATGCAGAACTTCTGCCGTTAAAATTGCCTTAATCAGCGATTGTTTTGACTTTACATACTGACGAGTGAAAGTTTGTTAAACCAATTTATTTGTTTAAATTAAACTTTTAAAAACGACTTTATGAACATTTTTTTTTGATACATGCAGAAAATAAATTGCCTATGGAAACTATTTTATGTAACAGTGTAAAGTTTATTTCCATACATTTTCTAATAAAACTTAATTCATATTCTAGAATATTATTGCTGTATACTCGCTCAACGATTATCAGTAGAAAATTAATTTTAACGAAATAACCCCTGACACCCAAATAGTAAAGTCATGAGGATGTAAGAGTTCTGCGTTTAAAAACTAATTAGGATTTGAAAATGCGCAACACGTTCATAGTTGCGCTGCGTGGCACCGCAGGCTTGTTGCTTAATCAGTGTAGACTGATGAATATGCAGTGATCAAGGAGATTATATTGTAGTTAGGAGTTTCCTCTCGATAACTTGAATCTTTATAGTACTTACCTACATTAAAAATAAAACAAAGGTTTCCACATTGTTTTTTTAAGACTGCAATATAGTTAAACTTACAGATTAAAAGGCTTAATTGTTACTTGATAGATTGATTTTAATTATTTGATAGTAACTTTGTAGCACACTTTCTATTTTTTATTTATCTTTTCTATTATCTTTGCAACGATCGTAATTATATAATCTCCTTGAGAGAAACTAGAAAGCAGTCTTATGTTTAAAGCTTGTATGTAAACATATGTTTTACACTTTTTAAGGAATTTGTATTACAATTACAGTATGATAATATTTGCACTCATGCCAACATTATAGCTTAACTTATAATATAAAACGTGTATCTTAACAAAATCCTCTTGCCACAATAATATCTATCTCAATAAATACTGAACAACTTTCGTAAAGAGGATTTTTTAAATACAGCATGTAACCTGTATTCTGTCTAAATTTATATAGGAAGTTACAACCGAAATTTAATAGGATTTGGTCTAATATCTTCTGTAAATAAATCAATAAAATATGTAATTTATCTTATGCGTATTTATTTCTATTCCCATCAATGACAAATACATGCAGGTTTCTAACAACATCGTTTTTGGGATCGATTTATAACTTTTTGGGATAGTCAAGGGGTAGTAATGATTAAATATTCCTTTAAAAAAATTAACTTTAACATACATACTCGTTATCAGCAGCAGAGAGCAGAGACATTATCTTTTTATTATAAGCAACTAGTATTGGTCGGTAGCTAGTAGTTTTAGGTCGGCAACGCATCTGCAATTCCTCTGGTGTTGCAGTTGTTCATGGGCGGCGGTAGTCACCATCAGGTGAGCCGCATGCTCGTTTGCCCCCTCCTATAAAAAAAAATAGTACTTAGACTTAAATCAGATTCAACTTTTATCTAAAACTAAAACACCAATAACCTGATTTCATTAATTGTGACAAATGAAATTAGTCATATGTAATTATCTTATATGAACAATTTTATTCCGTAAAATTTTCGTTAAACTTATGGAAAATTTTTACCCTCAACGTCTAGAAAAGTATAACTTCAAAAGTAAGTCTACGGTTAGCTGGAAAGCTTACTCTCGCGTCATATTCTTCCCTGCAAATTCGTCGTGCGAAACACTGGATAATACGTTTAAGATGGGCCCTAGACAGGTAATGTGGCATCCAAACATAATTAAATTGTTTTATTGTATTGATTGACATGTAAACTACGTGCTGGCATTTTATTGACAATTCATTTAATTTTTCATCCTGAAAGCTACAAGCACTAGAATGTAAAATTCGGAGGTTAATGTTTTTATTCATTTATAACACATTTTTACATAAATTTATTGATTCCCTGGTTCCAAAGTTAGTATAACTGTGTTTCAGGGAACAGTTCTTGCCTTAAAAAGTAATAATCATTTAAAGTTATTTAGTTATAGAACAGAGACAGGTATAGAAATATTATACAAGAAATTATTGTTATTATTGTCGGTCACTCTGGTTCTACTTCGGATATCCTCATTTATAAGTTTATCACGCAGAGAAATTCCGAGCATAGCGTTCTCCATAGCTCGCTGTGCGACCTTGAGCGTCCTCATAAGGCCAACAGTGAAGGACCACGATCATAGATCTCAGATCCAAAAGTCATCACTGGCAACACGCTCTGGTTGTACAATCTCGTTTTCAAGTTTTGAGGTATACCTGACGAGAAGATGTGTCGTAATTTCCCGAACGCTACGCAGCCGAGTTGAATCCCTCGATTGACCTCTCGGTCGAAGTTGGACTTACCTAGTCGGACTATTTGTCCCAGGTAAAACATACTCGTCAACAACTTCGAGCTTAGTGCTCCCAACAACTACCGGAATGGGCGTGACATGGACATTAAACATGATCTTTAATTTGTCCATGTTCATCTTAAGACCTATCTGTTGGAAGACACTATTGAAGTCCTTGAGCATAGTGCTTAGGTCCTTCAGCGATTCTGCCATAAGGACTACATCGTCGGCAAATGGAAGGCCGCATGCATTTTGAGATCTGTCTGTTCAGTTGCCTGTTATGCTGTCAAATCTACTGAAGACTGCAGCTTGAAGATTTTTACGTAAATGTTAGATAATATCATTAAAAATCAGTCATTAATACTCCCAGAGACTTTCCGTCGGCAGTATCGCTTTACAGATGCTTTTAAGCTCTCAAAAAAATTACTCATTCTCACTTACATTCTGAAGCTTCAATTTTATATATATTAGGCAAACAACTATTTTAAAACGTTTTACAAGAAGGTAGACCGATCCAAGGGGTCAACAATCACCTTTAATTAATTTTGTCTACATCGTTTGCCTATATTACTTATTCTGAACCTTCTCTGCAATTTTGGCCGGTTATTGCAAAATAACTAGTGACCGACCGAAGATTCGGTTTCGGTTTCGGCAAACAAAAAATCTGCTGAACCTTCAGCGGCGCCGAAAGTCAGTGTTCGTGGATTATCGTGCGTCATTCGGACGAGTTCGTGACTCGTGTATTATTCATAATGATACAGAAACAGAAACTTTTTTATTCAATATAGTTATTGAAAGGCACTCTTTTGTTTAATTACCACTAGTTCGAAAAAAAAACCTCTGTTCTTGGAAAAACCAGCAAAACCCAGTGGGACTTTTATTAAATAACAGCTTACAATCAGAGGTGTAGCGTGGACTAATATAAACGTGGGCGAAGTTGCTTCAGCGAGTCTCCATTTCTTTCATTCCAAGGATCTATCCAACTAAACATGCTTTGACGACATACGAGGGCGACACTGAAAGTTTTTTAAACTGGCCACTTGTTAAACGTATAATAAAAAAAAATAAGTTCAAATCTTGAAAATGGAACTCTACCAATATTATTGCATATGTATTTTTTTTATTTTCTACTAAGCCAGCGCTTATTTACGATCCCACCTGATGGTAAGTGGTGATATAGCCTAAGATGGTGAAGCGCACTGACTTAACAAAAGCCTATTCACGCTTGCCTTGAAGACAACCACACTGTAATCGGATGGAAAGACAGATGCTGGCAAC